TTGTGAGATCTATTACTAAACAGACGGATGGCAAAATTGAATGTATTTGTTTTATACAATAACAGAAAAATTTAGTTCAAAAGCAAGGTTGCCATCAGGTCTAAGTACATGTAGCTAAATTCACGTCATTCCAACTTAATTTCATGATAAAGTTTTCCACAATTACAAAAACTAACTGCAAAACTGATGAGGAAACATAATGATTCAAAATTAAAACTTCCATGGAAAAACTAACCTTTATTTTAATACTTGGAAAGTAATAAAACTTAGTAAGCTACAAGCAAATTGTTCAACCACTGCCATTCATGGATCTTCCACAGTGTCTGCAAACTTTTTGAAAACACAATTTTCAAGCAGCTTTCAACAGGTTTTCCAGGCAAACAACTGGCATGTTTAGCGGAATTAACTGCCTAGAAATCCGGCAATGTGTTTTTCATTGAAGACTTCTACTAAAGCTAAATATTTTTGCTTGTTTTGATCTGGAGTTTTGAAATTCTTTGCCAGGAAGACTGGCTACTATGAATTTTGTCTGGATCATGTGTAGCTATGTGTGCAAGTCACACCACACAGTGAGGTCATCTGTTCATCTGCCATCTAATAGATCACAAGCAACAGCCAACCACAGCATGCACAGTATCTGCATTTAGAGGATATTACACGATGACGAGAAGATATTAATTTTATGTTTGAGTGGCAAACACAATATTTATTTATTTTATTTATTTATTTATTTATTTATTTAGTCACTCACAAAACCTTACACAACATGAACAAAAGGTTTTAATTAAATTATAAAACTAATGTGACAAGGAAGCCTAACGAAGCTTGAAGCTTATATTAATAGGTTTCCTTCAACTACCTAGTGAACTAAGTTCATGGCTGAGTGCAGAGTGAGCAAGATCAGAAAATTAAACGACAGATCGGCTATCAGTGAGATAATTCTTTAAATTTTTTTTAAAAACAGATATAGAAGGAGAGCTAATTAGTGAAACAGGCAACGAATTCCAGATTTTAGGTCCTCGGTAAAGGATACTGAATTGCTTTATATTTGTTCTACAAAAATGAGGTCTATATTGAGAGGCTAGTCGAGTTTCGTATTGATGGACTTGATTACTACTTAAGAACAAGTCATGAAAGCTATTAGGCAAAAGATTATGGTGATAAGAATACATAAAGGTAGCGACAGAAAATGAATTAATACTAAATATGTCAAGGACTTTAAGCTGGCTAAATAAAGGGGCTAAATAAATAATATCTCACGGTATCTCACAGTATCTCATGAGTGAGCTTCACTCACTAGTGAGATACAGTTTTGTCAGAAGAACATAAAATTCATATCTTCGAGCCAGCAAGTTTGTGATAATGCTCTTTTTATTGTACAGTGGAATCCCGATTTCTCAAGCCTCCACGGGAAACGCAAATTGGTTCGAGAAATCGGGAGTTCGAGAAATCGAAGGTGGCATCAAATTACGCTGAATTGGCCGGGTATTGTTTGATTATGAGTAAGTGTTCAAATTTTAACAAAAATGCATCCTTTTTTAAATGTAGATCTTGACCTTTATTCACAAACAAAACGTACTTAAAAAACAAAAACGGAACATAACAGAACACATGTGGTGTAGAGTCTGTATATAGGGCTCACTCAATTTAGCTGAAATAATTTGTAATAACTAGTTGCTTCTTTGCAACCGAGAAACTCTAGTCTATGATTTGAGAAATGTTCCTGGTACTTTTGCGCAGATTATCAAGGTGCACATCATTAGAAAAAAAGCTGAATGTGTTAATCACGCTGATTGCATGGCGCAATTCACACTGTGTTGGTGGTTTTGGCGGCTCCTCTACAATCACAATCTCATCCTTGTCCATTTCTTCTTCTTCCCCTTCATTTGCATCTGCTGAGTAGTTAAACTCTGCTAGTATATCCCCATCAGTTAGGGGATCAGCTTCAAAAGTAGCCGCATCATCATCACATTCCACAACAATGCTAGCTGTTACATTCTCCTGTGCAAGCTCAGACGCTCGTTCCCTCAAGTTACTGATTTCTTCCGCGAAAGTCTTGAATGGATCATTGTGATCAGAAAACTTGTGCGCTTCCTTGGGATCGGACTGATGTGAGATCCCAGCTTCTCTGAATCAGTTTTTATGGTGCCTGGCGTAACTTTGTCCCATGAAAAGTAGGTACAAAAAGACAGAGCAACAATATGAGCTGTCAAAATGTGCCAGCTTGTGTTGGGAGGATACCTTAAGAGTATCACCCTTTCTGGGTCCTAAAACACATAAATATAAAGATAAACTTCGCTTTCGTGACTAGAAGTTTTGTGGTTAACCCTATTTACAGCTAAAGGTCAAAATCTTTCAAATTTTACGCCAAGCGGTTTTGGCCGTTACCTAATTGATACCCTCTTATTTTCGCACTGGGAAATCCAAAACACAGGAAAGTCTTGCCTGAGTTTTGGGGCTGACATATTCATTTGACATCCAACATGGAGGATTTTGTGCCATGTGATGGTTTTAGTGTTACAAAATAACACATTTACTGCTCTTTTCCGATATGACCAGCTTATTCGAAGAAAAACAATTTTGATAGCCTTTTCTTTCGCCCGAAAGACAAAAACATCCTTTGAAATAATTTACTGATACATCTATAGATCATCCGTAATAAAAGCATTTAACTAGTGTATATGTTTCCCCTAGGCTCGATTTCCGCCGCCCTAAAGGATCCGGTCTGCGTCCCTCCCCAAAGAGAGACGTTCTGGGGAGGGGGGGGGGG